ATCGAATCGCCACCCCGGGCGGGCTCTCCTTCTCAGCCGCCGGCTCCTCGAGCAGCAGAAGCGACCGGCCCGGCGGCTCCACGCCCTCGCGCAGAAAGCGTTTCGGCGTCTAGGCATAATGCACTGGGGCGCACCAGGCGCAGGCCGCGCAGCGCGGTGGAGGAGAGAGCCAGTCGGAGCTCAGTCCCTGTGTGTCCAGACTATCCCGTACTGTACTGGCATGTGTCTGTGCTGTGTAATTTCATAACGCGAAGCCAAAGGGTCTTCGTATGACACTAAGTCATGCTTGGCGCCCGGCTGAACGCCGGCGTTGACAGCTGCGGCGTCCGACTCCGAGCGCGTCCGTGTCCGCCGGCTTTGCCCTCGCTGATCCCGGCAAGCACGAGAACGACGAAGCTAAGGACGAGCAGTAGCGCGCCGAGACACTGCTGCCAGGGCGGCACCACTCCCTTGGTGATGCCGTCCACCACCATGGTCGCGGGGATGGTGATCTCTGTGCCGATCGAAATGAAGAGGGGCGTCGTGATCGCAATGCCAATGGCGATCGATGTGTTGAAGACCAACACCAGGACCGAGCCACCAAGGATGGCGCCCCACGCCAACGCAGACAACGGTGGGTCGAGCGACCACGCCGATTCCTCCACGCCCGATGCGCCGAGAAGTATGCACGGCACCGTTCCCAGCAGCACGTTGATGCCGCCCATCAACGTGAGGAAGACGCTGAGCTGTCTGACCGAGAGGTCGCCAGGGAAGCGGGCCTTGTAAAGCACCTTATATACCGCCGCGCTCACTGAGGAGAGGAGCGCAAAGGCGACGCCGGGGGACGGGCTTTTGCCCTGCGCTAGCCCGCCGTTGCTGAACGAATAGACCGGCACGAGAATGCCCGCAATGGCGAGCCCCACACTAGCAATCTTGGCGCCCGTCATGGGCTCGTTTAGCCAGAAGTAAGAGAGCACGGCCACAAAGGCGCTGCATGACGAGAAGGTGGCCGTGACGAGACCAGGCGATGCGTACACGAGGGCACGCGCGTATGCATAATTCGCGGGCACAAAGTACAGGTAGAACTCGGCCGCGAGCCACGCCAGGGGTGGCACGCACACGCCCTCCTGTGGCTGGCCGTCAAGCCACAGCGTTGACCGCCAGGTGTCTCGAGACGCCTTTGACGCGGTCGAAGAGCAGCACCACTCAAAAAGCGCCATGAGCGGCGCGAGCATGACCATGAAAACTGTGTGAATGTACATGGTGAAGAAGGGTGCGTTGAGATGCGACAATCCCAGGCTCGTCAGCTCCGATGACGCTGTCTGCGCCCCCGCCATGATAAAGACAACCAGCAAGCCGCGTGCGAGCGCCGGAGGCAAGCAAAAGCAGACGGTGTCGGGGTCTTTGGCACCAGCCGAGCCGTCGTCGTCCGCTGCTGGCGCTCTGGCATCCTACAGGGGAGAGGCTTGGGATTAGCAAGCACTCCCGCATCGCCGGCTGTGCTGAGAGCGGCCGTTGCCGCGGGCACTGACGGCTTAAGCTCGCCGCGCATGGCACGCTCGCAGACCTCGCGAGGCAGCTCCATTGTGTTTTGCAGCCGACGAC